TTCATATTTATCAGAGTGGTCTACACATGTAAATATTTCTCTACTATATCACTTGAGTTGGATGCCTCAGTTGTTCTGTGTGTGCTACAAAGTTATGCAGTGCAGCCATTCTTGTGAGTGTTGATTGATATTTGCTCAAGTCACACTAAATTCAATTTGATTTATTGAATCATTATCAGAATAACTGTAATGCTCTCTCACCATCTCTTTAAAGTCTTTCATAGTCTATCTGAGTGATCTACAACATGTAAATAATTTCTTCTACTAATATTACTTGAGTTGGATGCCTCAGTTGTTCTATATGTTGCTATAAAGTTATGCAGTACAGTCATTCTCACAGATGTTGGTTGACATTTACTCAAGTCACACTAAATCTGATTTAATTTATTGGATCATCATCAGAACAGCTGCAATGCTCTCTCATTATCTCTTCAAAGTCTTTCATATTCTATCAGAATGATCTATAATATGTAAATAATTTCTTCTACTAATATTACTTGAGTCAGATGCTTCAGTTGTTCTATATATTGCTATAAAATTATGCAGTGCAGCCATTCTCACAGGTGTTGATTGATATATGCTCAAGTCATACTAAATTTAATTTAATTTATTGAATCATCATCAGAACAGCTGCAATGCTCTCTCATTATCTCTTCAAAGTCTTTCATATTCTATCAGAATGATCTATAATATGTAAATAATTTCTTCTACTAATATTACTTGAGTCAGATGCTTCAGTTGTTCTATATATTGCTATAAAATTATGCAGTGCAGCCATTCTCACAGGTGTTGATTGATATATGCTCAAGTCATACTAAATTTAATTTAATTTATTGAATCATCACCAGAACAGCTGCAATGCTCTCTCATCATCTCTTCAAAATCTTTTATATTCTATCAGAGTGATCTACTACATGTAAATAATTCTTCTACTAATATTGCTTGAGTTGAATGCCTCAGTTGTTCTTCTATATAGTAAAAACATGGTGTTGGACCCACTCAAAAATTGAGATACTTGCATAATTCTTTTTAACAGTAGATAGAGCTGATTTTGAGAATTCTAAAACTTCTTTCCAATTATTTTTATCCATTTTTATTGAATTGATATTGAATTTTGAAGTATTGTGGTGTCCATTGGCTGGATGGTCTGATAAATTGAATTGGAGTTAGCATGAGATGGTGCTAACCTCAATTTGATTTATTGAACCATCATCAAAAAATTCTGAATGCTCTCTCACCATCTCTTCAAAGTCTTCCATATTCTATCAGAGTGATCTACAACATGTAAATAATTTCTTCTACTAATATTGCTTGAGTTGAATGCCTCAGTTGTTCTTCTATATAGTAAAAACATGGTGTTGGACCCACTCAAAAATTGAGATATTTGCATAATTCTTTTTAACAGTAGATAGAGCTGATTTTGAGAATTCTAGAACTTCTATCCAATTCTTTTTATCTATTTTTGTTGAATTGATATTGAATTTTGAAGTGTTGTGGTGTCCATTGGCTGGATGGTCTGATAAATTGAATCAGGGTTAGTGTGAGATGGTGCTAACCCTGATTTGATTTATTGGACTATCATCAAAAAATTCTGAATGCTCCCTCACCATCTCTTCAAAGTCTTCCATATTCTATTGGAGTGGTCTACAACATGTAAATAATTCCTTCTATCAATATTGCTTGAGCTGGATGCCTCAGTTGTTCTGTGTGTTGCTACAAAGTTATGCAGTACAGCTATTCTTGTGGGTGTTGGTTGACATTTGCCCAAGTCATGCTAAACCTGATTTGATTTATTAGATCATCACCACAATGGCTGCAATGCTCCCTCACAAGTCAGTTACACTGTTCAATACTCTATTGGAGTATCTATGACATGTAAATAATTACTAGTATATTAATAGTGCAGAAATCAAATGCCTCCTAATTCCCTTACTATGAAGGGATGACTGTCTCTCTTTTGTTATTGAGTTAAGTAACACAGGGAGCATTATAGCACCTTACATAAACTATTTAAGTCTAATTGAGAAATATCTCTTGATGAGAGAAAAGACCTCTCACTATCATACATGAGGGCTCTGAGTTAGAGTTCTGGTGATGGGTCCCAATAAATCAAATCAGATTTAGCATGACTTGGGCAAATGTCAACCAACACCTGTAAGGGATGGGCTGTACTGCATAACTTTTGTAGCAACACACAGAACAACTAGAGGCATCCCAGCTCAGGCATATTGATAGAAAGGAATTATTCTACATAGTGTTAGACACTCTCCATAGTATATTGGAAGACCTTGTTAGAATTGGTGAGGGAGCAATCTGGAATTTTTCTGTTTGATGGTCCCACTAAAATCAAATCCGGGGGGTAGGGGCGCCTACTCACCACAAAACACCTG